TTACTAAAACCACAGGAGACGCCCACGGACTTTCAGAAATTTGAATGATACCTTCTTTTGCTCTCTTTTTTTTTTTTTTTTTTTTAGCGAGGTTATTAAATTCGAGACAATGGATCTACATTTGTGTGATGCTTACCAGATTTATAGCTGTTATCGAAGTTATACTCAGTTAAAGTCATAACCCATCTTGCTAATCGGCCTCGAGGTTCGTTTAATGATAATAAATATTTCAGAGCTATATGATCCGTTACCAGAGTGAAGAAAGTGCCGTGAAGCTATTGCCTAAAATAGCCAACAGCCCAAACACCCACCAAACATTCTTTTTCTGTGGTGGTATAATTTTTTTCAGAAGACGAAAGGCCTCGACTGGCATATAAAATCACCCGTTCATGACCTTCATCATCCTTTTGAGATAAAATTGCACCTAGTGCTACATCAGAAGCGTCTGTAAACAAAATAAAAGGTCTATCGAAATTAGGGTAAGCTAGAAGGTGCACTTGGATTAACTTGGATTTTAATAATTCAAAAGCTCCTTGTTCTCGTGACATCCATCTATAGGACATTCCCTTTTTTAATAAGGTATTTAAAGAGGCTGCTATTTGAGTAAATTCAGGAACAAATTTTCAATAATACGAAGCGAGAGCAAAGAACCCCGTAGCTGACGTAAATTTTAAGGGATAGAGAAATGTTCTATGACCGCTACTTTCTTAGGATCAGTGCCTATACCCCTATGGTTTACAATATGCCCTAATACTTTTATCACTGTCTGAAAAAAGAAACATTTTGTAGGCTTTAATTTTAGACCAGCGAAGTTTAATCTATGGAAGATCTCGGCCACGTGATCAAGATGCTCTTGGATACTCTTAGAATAAATGATGATATTATCAATATAAATAATGACAAATTGATCGATAATGTCTTGAAATATAGTATCCATCAAACGCTGAAACGTTGCTGGTGCATTCGTAAGGCCGAAAGGCATTATGTTAAATTCAAATAACCCAAAGGGAGTAGTAAAGGTGGTCTTGTGTCTATCCTGCGGATCTATTTCTACTTGCCAATATCCACTGGCAAGATCCAACGAACTAAAATAATAGGCGTCTTTTAATGAATCAAGTAAATCTTGAATATGGGGAAGTGGATAACTATCTTTAATTGTTACTAAATTTAATTTGCGATAATTGACGCAAAATCTAACTTTATCTTCTCTTTTTACTAAAACCACAGGAGACGCCCACGGACTTTCAGAAATTTGAATGATACCTTCATTTAACATTCGAGCAATCTCATCTCTCATAAATTCATGCTCCTTAGGCGTATGACGATAAGATCTTAGTTTAATAGCAGAGGCATCACCAGTATTTACCTTATGTTTAACTACATTGGTTCATTCTAACTCCTTAGATTCCCAGGCAAAACTGGAACGGTGATTTTGTAGAAAATTGTCAAATTGGTCTTGAAAATTTTGTGGTAGTTTGCTAACGCGATATACAATGTCAGGAGTTTTCTCTTCATAATAAAAATCGAGCAAATTGACGATAGGTTCAGCATCTTCTCCTAATAAGTAAATTGTTGACAGAGTTATTGCTCAACAGAGGTCTTGTAGGGTATATAAGGTTTCGGGGTATGCACCGTTAAAGTGACTAAAGGCATAACTAAGGGTAAGTTCATCCAAATCTTGATACAATGGTGGAAGAGAGCTGACCAAAATTTCATCACAACTTTCATCTGACTCCTCCTTAAAATTGATCAAAATTTCTTCACAGTTCTCATTCGTCTCATCAGCAGAATCAAAAGAGATTAAATCAGTACTAGAAGAAGATAGGGATGACTATACATCCTCAAACCAGTATTCATCCTCAGAATCCCAACTCATTTCGGGTTCTTCACACAATTCTTGATTATGAAACATAGCCAATGAGGGTAGACGTAAAAAATCATCAAAACTTGAAACTCCATAAATGCGATCCTCAAGATCTTCATCATCGAACTCATCTTCATCAGTAAGGGTCCCGGCGGTCATAATCTTATCTTCATTATCTTCGTATAACTCTCTGGTTTTACTAGGCCTATTTTTTCTAGGGGTTCACGGTTAATTTGACAAAACTTGACAGGACGACTATTTCTTTATCTTCCCATTCAAATAACATTTCCGCAGCAGTCCAATCAATTCGAGCCTTGACCTTCGATAACTAGTCATTTCTGACTTTCGCTTGATAAGAGGTGGCATCAGTTACAACGAAATCAATAGGGACTTTAACACCTTCCACTTCAAAAGGAAAAGCTGAGATTTCTTCCAATGCCCATTTGTTTTCTCAGTAAACATTAATCATTTTAATTGTGGATGGTCTTTCGATTTTTATACCTAACTCCCGTAAAAAATGAGATAAAACAACACTTCTGGATGACTCGCTATCAACAATAAGTGGAAAAATTTTATCTACTATCTTAGCATCACAATATAAAGCTGTCACTCTTATTTCCGGCATAATACTAATATTGTTTTTCAACTTCCTTTTAGAGGTACCCTTCTTAAGCTTCAAACTTTTATCTAACTCAGCTCGCAATGACTAGGCAATTCGAATGAGTTGACCAAAAGTAATATTGGCTGGTTTATCTCTAATATCAGCCACTATATTATAAGGGGATACAAGCGCGGCAATCTGGAGGAGTTCTCCTTCCATAAGTTTTTTTCTAGGAGCTGGGCGACGCTTTAACTTTTTTACTTCTGTGAACTTTTCTTTAGGTACCAGCTTTTTGGTAATAACGTACTTTTTTCTAGGAATTTCTGATTCTTTAGACGGCTCTTCAAGGGGTTTCTTAGAAGGTTTTTGATTTTCCTCTTCTAACAAGTCTTGCTCACATGACTTGAAACCTTACGAATTAAAGCTGTTATCCTCTCTTTTATTGTTGAACACTTTCCCTTTTCTCTGCCCTCTTTTATTATCCTACCTGTCCCAAGTCCTAATCATCGTTATTTCTCCCAGTAACTATTAGAGTATAAATCAGTTTAGTTTTAGTTTTCTCCTGAATTAATAGTTACAGTAGGCTAAATTTTGTGTTTACGTAAGTAACAGCTTTACCAAGAAAGGTATCATAAACTCTGTTAAAAAGATCGTTAGGACTATTTTTGTTAGGACGTTGCATGGCATAAGTATCATAATGAGCATTGTAAGGAACATTCTTATCCATCATTATTCCGATACAACCATTGTGCCAATTTTCCCATTTTGAATATATTTCTATAAAATATTTTTTATAACCTTTAACTTTTTCTTGTAACTCATTATCATAAGATAGTTCCTAAAAAAATAGATTATATATATATAACATTACTGTTACAAGTTTTATTTAAAAAGAATGAATTTTAACAATAAGAAATTTATTTAGGTACCTTCAAAATAGCAAGATGCATAAATGAATATGTGATAGCAATAGTAACTAAATTTACGTTGTCTTTATTCTTCCCAGTATCAGTAGTCAAACTATCATAAAATATATTGCACAGTTTGATTAAATTTGTCAAACATTCTGATTGTTTACTACTCGAGGCATTTTGATATCCAACAAGATTTTGTTTAATTTCTTCAACCATAATTTGACCAAGTTCTTTTTTTACTTCATCACGTTTAAGTATGAATTGAGATCTTTCAATTAATTAAGTAAATATATTTTATATCATTTTCTGGAAAATATTTTGTTATTAAAGCAGCAATTAGTTCAGCGGGTTTCAACGTATCTTTTGAAACTACATCGATGAATTCTTTGATACGAATGTCCCACGACATATCTTTTGACTTTTTTCCGTTTTCTAACGTAGACATTTTTTTCTTTTCAGCAAAAGCACTATTCGTTATTTGAGAAAAAATTGTTACAAATTATATAAATTATATACAAATATCATGTAACACGAGCTTATCAAGGGAATTTAGGTTCGTACGTATGGTGCAGGAAATCTAAAAACCACAATCACTTTATACGTATAGAACAAAAAAAGGCCTATTAAGTACTTACATATTATTCCTGGCATATTATTTCTATGCCCATCACTCTATTGAGATCGATAATTTAAGAAATTTATTCTCAATGATCTATCATCTTAAAATGGAGATTGTATTAGAGTGGGATAATAACCAGTAAAAAAGTTAGTAACTAAAAGGAGATAGAAAGTTAGTAACTATTGTATGAAAGTTAAAAACTAATGGAGGCAAAGTTAAGAACTATCAGGTAAAAGTTTCGAACTATCAAAATAAGAGAAAATTGTATATAAGGAAGTCTTCCCGAGAAAAGAAAAAGGACAATTCAAACTTCTGTAGATTAGAATAACTACCCTTTGATGACCTTTATAGTGATATATCTAAACAATGACAATAGTATAGTATTAGTATTAGTTAGTATTATATGTATTATCGTATTTTTTTATGTTATACTTATCTCAATAAAGATCCGAATTTAGTATATGTTAAATATTGTTTTTCCATAAAACGTCGTTAAAGTCTTTTATTAAATAAACACAGACCCTAACAACATAAAGATAAATAAATATTAGTACATACTTTAACCTCAATCTCCTTGATTTCACGCATATACTTATCCTAGATTTTGATAACTATCGTTGGATTTTGACCCAAATTAAACATTTTCATCCAATCGGTAGTTACAACGTACGTTGTAAAATTGCGATTTTATGCACCAGTCCTGGATAATACAACTATACCCTACTAAAACTAATTAAAACTACTCTAACCAGAACACCACAACTAATAAAGCCCAAACCCTAATAATGGTAAGGCAACGATCGAGGCGTGGAAAGACTTGGTCCGAGTAACCAGGGTGAATTGGGTTCTTAGCGATAGTGCCGGATTAGAGCTCTTGATTACGTCACGAATCTCTTAATACAACGTCACGGGATTTGGTCACGAATTCAAGTTAAGTACTCTAATTTCTTTAACTTGGAACTTCGAACTCAACCGAGTTTTATACTATTAGGGTGAATCGTAAGTTAAATACTCTGATTTCTTTAACTTATAGTTTTGAACTCAACTGAGCTATCTTTATTCAGGGAAGAGTCTGAGGATATATATATCTATTTTTACATATGTAAGATAATAATAAGAATACTAACGATACTAACTATACTAACTATACTAACTATACTAACGATTACTGTTATTACTATAATTCAGGTAATCAACATAATAATAACTATCTTAAGAATCCCGACGATCCTAATAATACTAACTATTCTGTGAATTCTCGGGATTTTCAGAATTCTTGGAATTTTCAGAATTCGTACTACGTCGGAAACCGCAGTAATTTCGGGGCGGTAATTTACATTTTCACAACGTACATACGTAGGCAAATTTACACCTGATCGATTGGTATGATCACGTGTTTACTTTTTTCGTTTCACGGATTTTACGTAAATTATTTATACTGGATGCCAAAATCCATTACAGTACATATACTTCTTTCAAAATAATAACGTTACTGAACAAACGCCTGATTAAAGTATCTAGGTATTTTTCGAACTAATCATAGTTCTCCCGAAATGACAACGAATGCCTGATTGAAATATTTAATACTTAACGAACTATCATAAAACCTTATTTTCGTGCCTTCGTGTAAACCGTCGATGTTGTGGCTTATTATACAAATATGATGTAGTAAACCGACCGTTTATTTTATTGATGAAAGACTTATAAGAATATATCTATCAGTACTAAATGCTGAAGAGCAAGCTCTATTAATCCCTTTTAAAATTATTCTTCCAAATTGTCCAAGGTCATTATTTGAGTACGAAAGTTATACTATGTCTGTTGGTTCTTATTTAGATAACGGAATCAAAAATTGGCTTGAAAATGAAGGATATTGTTTCGAAAAAATAAAGATGAATTTACAAATATCTTTATCTGCAATGTTTCTGCGAGCATGTAAAAATATTAAATATTTAAGACTTGACAATACTATTAATAAAACATTATTGGCAGGTCATTTTGCAAGAATACTACACTTTCTTTTCTGAATCTTCAATATAATAACCTTGAGACAGAAGAAAGAAATGCATTAGCAGATGTACTTTGTAAGAACACCATGCTAACTTCCTTGAATCTAAGCTATAATGATCTTGGATCTGGAGGAGGAATTTGAATCTTGGTGGTGATTATCTGCCGGAAGAGTATTAGCCGATGTGCTTTGTAAGAACACTACGTTAACTTCTTTGGATCTTGGCAATAATGATCTTGGATCAAAAGGAGGAAAAGCATTAGCGGCTTTACTTTACAAAGACACTACACTAACTTTTTTGAATCTTAATAGTAGTGATCTTAAGCACTAGCAAATGCGCTTTGCTTTGCAGTAACACTGTGCTGACTTTGAATCTTGGGCACAATAAACTTAGATCCGAAGGAGGAATAGCATTAGCAGATGCACTTTGCAAGAACATCACTTTGACTTCTTTGAATCTTTGTAATAATTATCTTGGATCAAAAAGAGGAATAGTATTAGCAGATGCACTTTGCAAGGACACCACGCTGAATTCATTGGATCTTGAATATAACGATCTTGAATCAGAAGGAGGGAAGCACTATCAGGAATGCTTTGTAAGAACACCACACTAACTTCTTTGTATCTTGGATGTAATAATCTTGGTCCGGTGTAAAATATTAGAGAATGTATTTTACAGGACTGGATTCGAAGGCTTACTTCTTCAGAATTGTAATATATCAGAAGGAATAAATGCATTAACAGATGCGTTTTGCAAGAACACAACGCTGGCATATTTGAATTTAGGTATGAATAAAATTAAATTTAATGAAGAAAAAACATTAACAAATGCACTTTGCAAAAAGTTGACGCATACTTATTTGGGTCTTCAATCTAATTATATTGGATCAAAAGGTGGGAAAGCATTAGCTGACGCACTTTGCAAGAATATTACACTGACTTTGAATATTTTTCATACTTAAATTGATTGTACAATAAAATTTAATAATCCATAACTGTTAAAAAATTTTAATAATTTGTATGCAGTATGTATAAATGCAACTTAAGTAACACAATATTAACGAGGGAGATCAATATTCTAGTAAATTATACAATGTTTAAGACAAATATATTTATAAACTAGAAATTGCACTGAAGGATACTTAGTTGCCCTGTTTAGTTAATTAATAAATGTCGCGGACTAAAATGAAATCAATAAAAATAGAATTGGAATTTTCTATTTAACTCTAAAATCAACGTATACTCTTTTATTAACAAACTTGACACTAAATTTTGCCAAAAATAATCTTTTTTTGCACTGACTTATTAAAATCTTATAACCATTAAAAAAATAGAGTTATCGTTCAAATATTTCATATTTTCATAATGAACTTGTATGGTCCATCGTTTCGCTGATAGTTTTAAGCTTTAGAAACTTTAAATTGCATAATACATAATGTATAGTATAATACGAAAAACTACTACTTTAAATCGATATTTTTTATTAAGAGTGAGACCTGGTCTCGGTCTTTATTGAATAATTATGTATTACATTTTTTACAATGGATTACATGAATTATTACAGGGGTCTATAGCTAGGACTAGTTTATCCGCGGCCCAAAACTCTAGCTTTTGCACCTTCAGTATCAATATTATTCATTCCAAGAAATACAGAAGTCAGGGTAGTATTTAGATGAAGCGTATCAGCTATAACTTTTCCTCCTTCTGGCCAAGTTTATTATTTCAATGACGCAAAGAAATTAGTGTACTGTTCTTACGAAGCATATTTGCTAATGCTATTCCTCCTTCAATATTAATGTCATTATGCCAAGCGTTAGAGAAACTAGTGTAATGTTATTATACAAAGATTCTGCTATCACTTTTATTCCCCAGAGCCGATATTATTACGGCCAAGATATAAAGAAGTTAAAGTAGTGTTTATGCAAAGAATCTCCACTAAATATTATTTTCCATTAAGATTCAAAAAAGCAAGAATAGTATTCTTGCAAAGTGCCTTGGCTAATGCTTTCCCCCCCTTCAATGCTAACATAATTATAACTAAGATTTAAAGAAATTAAAGTAGTGATCTTGCAAAATGCTTTTGCTAATGATTTTCCTCCTTCAATTCAACATTATTATCCCTTAAACCGTTTGGAATTCAGGCCAAATTTGCACTAAATTCTATTATAAAAATACTTCTGATCTATTTTTTTAAAAAATTGATATTTTTAAATAAAATTTTTTTTGATAAGATTTGGAAATAAGGATTATATTTTTTTAGTATTTATATTTAAATTATAAGACAAAAAATTTAACTTGCTTATAAGCCAAAAATATATAAATTTTAAAAAACTTTTAACCAAAAAACTAATTTATAATTTTTTGATAAACTCTAAATATTAATTTTAGATCTATAGTTGCTTAATAGAAATTATAATTTAAATAAAGAATTACAATTTTTATTATTGTAATTTTGTAATTTACTTGTAAAAAATAAGACTTGTATTAGAAGTAAAAAAAAAATTTATAGACGTAAACATATAGAATTTTGAAAATTTAAAGAAATAATTTTATAATAAAAATTTTAAAATAAAACCTTTAAACCTTTATCACTCTTAAGTTTTTTAATACATTTAAAATTTTCTTGACAAAATTATTAAAGCATATTTCAAAATATATTTTTTACTTAGAAAGTATATAGCTAAAGTTAATATTTAGAATTTTATTTTAAAAATTTTATTTTCAAAAAATTTCAGGGCAAATTTGTAGGAGAAACAGTTTAAGGGATACTAATATCTAAAAAAATTAGAATGGTGTTCTTGAAAGTGCCTCTGCTAAT